GTTCCTATTATTTTTATTTATTTTTAGTTACATTTTAGGCCATAGCTATAAAATTTTCCATGTTTCTTTCAACTTCTGATTTATTCTTTAAAAAATAGATATATCTGTATCCAGATATTATCCTTTAATAATAAAAAGTATTTTGCCCACCAAGTGAATCGGCTTCGATAGGGCCACATAAGTCACTATGTATAAGCTCACAAGTTTTCTCTGCTCTAGACTCACTAAGAGGAAATGGAAGTTTATGCTGTTTACCAGCAAGACATATTTCACAAAATGGCTTTGGATCATCAGTGAAAGGTATATTATTTCTTTTTAAAACCTTTTTACCTGATCAAAATTAATATGCGCCAATTTTCTATGCCAGTCGTGTAAGCTTACAATAATATTGCACTGTATCGGCTGTATATCTATGTTTTGGATAAATTCTTTTATTTTAAACTGCATTTTATATAAATTTCCTTGTCTTTATGCTATTACGCTATGCTATTACATTACCCTTTATATCTATTAATTCACATTTATTTTTATTTGAATGCATTTTATAATTTTTATCCAGTGCAGTACTTAATGAGAATAAATTTACTGACAAATCTGGTACATATAATAGATTATTTAAATCTGTACTCACCCATTAATTTCCATTCCATGCCATTACTTGCACAATACCTATACCTTCTACATCTACTAGTGTACCATTTCCTACTCTAACTTGCCTTTTCTCCGGTAGTTCTTCCATTAATCTGAATTGATCTTTAACGAAACACATGTGTTCTGTAGCGCCGCTGTCCATCCACCAATTTTCAGAGCTCAAGGTGACTTTGTCTAACATATCCATAAGATCAAAACAATTTAATAAGATTTATTTACTTACGAAGGCCTAATCACCTGCTTTTCTGCTCTCCCTTTTCTCTTCTTGAACTAACAATCTTGCATTAAATGTCCTATTTTTTTTACAAAAATGGCACTCATTTTTGCCTGTTCTGCGACAGTCCTTCTTCATATGACCCATTTTAATACACTCAAAGTATTTTATATTTTTTCTTGACATGACGAGCTTTGTTCTCACTGAAAATGCTGTGTACTTTTCTTAATTTTTACATCTTTCTTCTTCTAACATTAATCTTGATATAAGATCAGTCAGTGTTTGTTTATCTGTGGTTGTCGACTCCCATGCTGATATAAAATATGTAATATTTTCAAGTAATTACAATAATACCTTTGTAATAATTATCATTTTGTCTCTTATTTCTTCTCCTAACGACTTTAATGTGCCTTTTATTTCTTTTAAATGTGACATAAATTCTGCTGCTTTTCCTTCTGTATATTCTAATGAGAAGAACTTTTGTGTTAATACATGCACACTTACTTGAGATTGGTGCTCATAAATAGCTTTTAGCTTTTTCTACATTTTCGCTGCTGTCTCATATGACAAAATGTGCGTTACAACTTTTTCTTCTAATCTAGACACTATAATTTCTTGTGCTTTTGCATTTTTTCTATCCCATTCTTCCGTAGCGGTAGATGATTTCTGAGCTGCTCTATTTACTATATCAAAATAACTTTTGGATTTTAGAGTAATCTTTACCTGGAACTTCCATGTGGTTCAGTTTTCTTCATTTTACTGTGCCTAGCAATCCTGTCTGGTCTCCCACCGATTACGTGTGTCGATCGTCATATTCTGACCCCAAACACTGGGTATTTTCTTTTATACAGGTAGTACTTTACCTTTTTTATACCTTGGCGGCAAAAACTGCGTACCGCACTGATATGTATTATTTTACTGGATAGGATATAGTCCCCTAAAAAACGTTCCGAAAAATTGGCCGATTTGGGCAAATAATATGGCGGACCGGATGTCATTTAACTATGGAGGGTAGAGGAAAGGAGAACAATCTCTGTATACAAAAAGTGTCTCTCAAAATGTATACAATTAAGATGGCGCTTCTGTGCCCAGGGGACGTCGACAGTCGATAATTCAGATCACACAATGACACCAATGATGTATATAGTAATAAATATTGCTCAACCATAAAAAACTAAAAACTACACCGTGAAAAGTGACTGATCGTAGAAGAGTAAGTGTTCTGTGATCGTAGATAAATTTTGACAATACACGACAATAGTCAAATTTTATTGAAAAATAATAATATAAACAATAAATAATTCTTATATTAAAATGGCACAGAGGTCTCAATTTACTGCTTCCTGTCTGATTTAATTATGAATGAGCAATCTATATGACTATATAGCATTGGATTTTGTCCCCTAGCTACACGAGCGCCATCTTAATTGTATACATTTTGGTGGCCACTTTTTAATATAAAGATCCATATAAGATTGTCCTCCTTTTCTCTACCCTCCATACATTTAACGTAACCTCTATTTCCATTTGTCATCACATTTGTCATTTAAATGTGTCAACAAGCTACGATTAGATGTTTTTATTGTGGAAAACTTAGTAAAAAGAGTATGAAATAAACAATAAACGTTCATTCCTGAAGACACAATATGCTTCACGTTTCCTATTTTATATTTTCTTTCATAAAAAAACAAATTATGGATGAATTTTCCCGAAGGACATCGCCCGCAAAAGGAATAGAAGAAGAATAAGAAGAAAAACTAATCATATTATAGGTTAGGTATGTCAAATTATCCCAAATTTCAGTTCTGTGAACCCACCATAATTTGCCCAAATCGGTTAGCATTGTTGCACTTCCGGTCTCCTTGGTGGAACGGTTTTTTAGTATGTTAAATATAGCCTATATCCTATCCAGTAAAATAGTACAGATCAGTGGCTTACCGACGTCGACCTTTTCCTTTACTTGATTTTTTAGCATCTTCTTGGTGAGACTGGGCCCATAACCCGTTAAACTTAAGTTTGGATGTGTTAAGAAGCAATGATGAGAACCAGTTTTCTTTATTATTAGATATGATATCTAACAAAAATCGTCGTTGTTACAGTGGTAGATAATTGAATTCTAATAAATTACAATATAACATTTTCATTTTAATAAAGAGTATAGAAACAAACCTCAAAATAATTTGGCTCTTGGTAGAAAATTTTCAAATTCCAAATTAATAAATTTTTGATTGACACAACACAAATTCTTAATTGACAGACGACACATACAGTGCTGTCGTATTGCCATTTTCTTGTTTATTAGGTAAAGTTTTTTAAAACAATGAAACTATATAAATGGTGAAAGTTTGAACATAAATATTATTTTTAAAATCAGTTTTTTTTTCATTGGTGTCTTTGGCTTCGACAAATTAGGTCATTAGCCTCGTGTTCTATGTAGGTTATGGATTGTATTAGTAGTCTAATACTCCATAGTGCAGGAGTGCTAGTACTCTAATACTCCTGCACCCCTACAGACAGGCCTTATTACTGTTTCCCAGCGCCACTTAAGGAATAGCACTGTTAATTTAAACCCAACAATGAATGGTCGGAGTGGGGAATCCTACCAATACATCAGAATTATTTTTAAATAAATAAATTAAATAAAAAGTCCCGATCATCGGTGGGATTCGAACCGCGAACCCTTCGATTCGCAAGTCCAGACTCTATCACTGAGACACCCACCATCCTTAAAAATATTTGATATTAAATATTTAAAAGGTAATTGTCTAACGATATTATAGAATTGACAAGGGAGGGTAGCCATGTGTGAGTTGAGGTAATTTTAAGGTCAATGTTTTGTTGAATAATTAAACATTGACTTTCCTTGTGAGATATAAAGGACTTTTTCTCCCCCCTTCACCTTAAAATATTATAGAAGTCTAAAAGTAAGAAGGTGGACACAACCGAACGTATATCACTTCTCGTATACAGTCTAACCGGCAACGTTATGTCGCTAGTTCCTATTGAGTCATACATTTAAAAAAATTAATAACTCTAGCAAATGGATATATAAAAAAAATTAGTAGCTTTATTTTTAACTGTATTATTCATAAAAAATAATCCAACATTTTTGAAAATGCCCTATTAATGAGAGGCATAATCTTTAATAAAGTCAGTTCTAGAACGTAAACGATCTACGCATGCTCAGATGTCAAAATAAGAGCGACGCTTTTAGTCGCGGGCCTTAAATAAACTTGCAATATCTCTCTAATGTTTATTATACTTTTTGAGTGTTTTAAATTTTATGAAGTAAGCACTAAACACATTATGTTATAATAGTATATTATCCAACGATCATGTAATGATGGTTATTAATACACGAACATTAACCGGGATACGAAACGAGCCGAAGGCGAGTTTCATATGGTTTATGCGGGTGTATTAATAACCATTACATGAGAGTTGCATTCGCTATTTTTTCTACACCCGATAAATAATCAAGAACTATAAATATTATATTTATATTTGTATTAAACACAATAAGAGTAATTGCTCGTATTTCTATAAAAACTTCTACAAAATTGTAATTTATGGTATTATATCGGGTATTGGTATTACCATAGATTTTTGCGGCTAAATATTTTGTTCTGCATTTTATGCTTTCTCCGATATGTGTGGAGGAGTCGATGGTAAGTCTTCTATATCGCTAATATCAGACATTTTGATAATATAATTATCGAAGTTTAGCTATCTACGAAAATTTAATACGTACTGATTGTGACAACCAAAACAATTACATAGGAACCCAGGACAAACGTCAAATGCACAGCATGCTTGATTGCAATGCATATAAGTGCATTATTATAATACGAGTGTAAAAAAAAATTATAAAATGTTCATGAACTTAATAAATAAACTTAATCTGGTGTAATAATCCAATATTTTTGAGATGAGATAGTTAATATGATTTGTATGATTGTAGTTATCTCAATGATTAATTAAAACTGCGTGTGTTCAATTGTATTCTTTTGTTTTTATTAATAGATATGCATTTCCATTAATTTTTACTATTAAAAAGTTATCAAAATATTATTGAACAACTAATTTAAAAATATAAAAGAACTTTGTTAATTTTTTGAATTATCTTTTGTTTCAGTATATCTTCATGATCTTAGATACGTCAACAAAAATGGTGGTGGATCTGGAAGTGAAGACCTTAAAAGTAAGTATCTACTTAAAAAGCCAATAAATAAAATGTTTCGTACCATTTTAAAGCATTAAATTTACGTTATGGGTGCAAACATTTTAACAAGTGGATATTATAAGCTTTAATTTTAAATAAAATAAATTATTAATAATAATGTCAATGTTAACAATATCGCCTAAGTTGTAACTTCTACCATTTGGTCGACCTAAAAAGATAACTACGACTTACGAAATACTTTTTCTAAGCCCTAAATTATATTAATTTTAAAAATAACTATTTTCTTTGCCACTCACAAACATCATTAGTTTCTAAACTGTTAAATCAATGATATAAATAAATTGGTTTTGCTGTTATTTGCATCATATTTAGTTTTTGTATAAATAATTTAAAATATACTTTCTAATAGTAAAATTTTGCATATCAAAATAAAACCATTTAAAGGTATCGCCTTACTAGACCTAACCTTGCCCTAAAAATAACTATTTACTTATTCTAGTAAGAATCGAATAATTTTTCTTTTAACTAAATTTATCGGGTTTGCTCAAAGGAATGTTAAATAACTATTTACTAAAATCGAATGACCAACATTCATGGTGTCATCCGAGTCAAATTATTATGAAGGAGTATGAAAGAATATGGAAGATTGTTTATGTTTATAATTCGATATGAATAAACCTAAGGATCTAAAGCGCTTAAAAAACTCTCAAAATTACATTAAGGAAGTATATTTATATTCTTAATGCCACTTATTATCAGTTTAATGTATTTTTTCTCGTTGCAAATATCATAGTGTTTTTCAGGAGAGTACGCAATTAATTTTGAAGTGTGACAGCAGTGTAAAGCAATAGTAGTAGCCGTAAATATTTATTTATTCGTAATACGCAGGCTCACTCCTCAGATTAACAGTACCATAAACTATCCCCTCTCTAATTAGCAGTTGTTTGCTTCTTTCTAATGCGACAGCTGATGCAATAGCTCTGTCTGCGTAATAATAAACATAATCTAAATGATTGTAATAAAAAAGAACCTAATTATGTATGAGTAGATTAGTTTAGTAATTTTTCGTTGTTAAATCCAACCAATTTATTCTACTTAAACACCCAAAATCTTGAAAACTCCTAGGGATAAACTTTGAGACTTAAGCTTTTAAAACAAACTAAAGTTACCTGTCTTAGGACGAGAATCACTCAAACTCTCAATTGGTTCTCCAATGTCCAACATACCCTGAAGGGTTCATTTACTAAGATAGTACTGGGTAAAGTCTAGAGAAGAAATGAGTGCCGTAATTTAATGGCAGAATGTAGTACAGGTTCAAGAGGTAGACCCTTCAATGCTTATTTGTAGTTAAAATGAAAATTTTGTATACATTTGATCGGCCTAATAAACGAGGGTGTCAATATTTGTAACCCCTGATGTTGTTTGTACAATTTAAGTGACTAAAGCTAAAAAAGGTCGTGGATGATGCCCCACGTTGGGCGCAAATATATGTTACGAGGGAATCAATATTTGTAACCCCTGCTGTTGTTTGTACAATTCAAGTGATTAAAGCTCTGTAAAAAGTGGCGTGAATGGGGCTACTAGGATATAATGGCTCACCCTGAAATTAGAAAATGAGCAACACGTTATTTAAATCTGCTTATCTCTACGTATAAAAGTAATTGATAAAAATACGGAAACAAAAATAATTATTAAATTTAGATGAAAAATATAGGATATGCCTTCAGTAGATACGGGAAAACCAAATTCTAATGTACAAGAGTTTCTAATAATAAAATTACTTCCTAATTTATCTATTTTTGAATAGTATTCAGTACAATATAAATTGACTTATCTCAATGAGCTTTTTAATGAGGTAGAATGATGAAGTCTCCTCCTTCTTAGTTCCTGAAGACGTTAACTTTAATCAAATAAGCAAATCCTTCTTCATATAACTCTTAATATTATTCATTATTCCAATAAAAAAACTGTCATCCAAATCTTTCTTTTTCCAATAAAAAAACAACGATCATTCAGATCTTTCTTTCAATAAAAAAAGTAATCTTCCAATAAAAACACAACGATCATCCAAATATTTATTTCAATAAAAAAAATTGTAATACTGCCTATAGCTAAAAAGATTTCAATCTTTTAATGGATAATCGAATAGATAGGACGGATGAGACGAACCTTTTGAATAATAAAAATAAAATATATTAATTTATTATTATATTAATCTCTTACTTATAACCGATGAGTTACTAATTATGTTAACAATGGTAAATATAGAGGAAATAATAATTTCAATTTCTCAAATACGACCAAATTAAAATGCATTGCATTATATTAAAAGGAAAAGAGCAATGGCATAAAATTAATTTCAACAACCTAGATTTTGATTTTGCTTCCTAAGGAGAGCGTCATACTTGGACTGGTTTCGTCCGTATTAGGACTCATCAGCAAGCATTAGAAAATCTTGACTTATGTATCTAATGAAGTCTAAGTGACGTGTTACCTTTACTCTTATGCATTAAAGATGATCGGGAAATAGTAGGTAGTGAACGAGTAAAAAATGGTAACGCCATCTACACTTAGGAAGCAAAATCAAAGCTCGTTATAATACAATGCCTGTTGCAGTATTAACGTGATATTTTAATGAAGCAGTGGAAGTAGCTGTTATAAGTCACGTGACTTAAGATCAAACTTACGTACGAAGAATATTAAAAAATATATAAATAGAATCCTTATAAAATTCATTTAGTGCAAGACCTAAACGATGATGCCTTTGACAGGCGAGTGCAATCCAGTGAATTTATTAACGACCAAGCAAATTAAGACATACATTTACTATTTAACATTTGTTTTTCCAATTGAGGCGTCAATGAAACCGCTACAACTGTCGTGACTGGAGTGATGTAAATTCAATAGTTTTTCAAGAGAAACACATGCAATATCCTGAAAAGTATAACGTGAGGTCTGGTATTTGTCGGAGATTAACTAATTGGGCCTTTTTTTCTAACCGGTACCCTAAATGGGGAAATGTATGTGGATCTGTTGGATAATTTCATTGAACCTGCTGATACTCAAAAAGTGAAAAACGATATGCTCTATTTACCAAATACGTGCTCGTCTGCATTATAAAGTGTGTACTTAGACCAAGAACTTCCAGGAAAGTAGATTGGTAGAAAGGATGCTATTGAGTCATCAAGATCTCCAGATTTTTCTTCGCTAGATTCATTTTTTTGGAAGCACCTATTATCTAAGATCTTTGCTATTTAACCAACTTGCCTACAAGATTAACGACAATGGACTATTAACGAGTGACATATGTCAGAATTGGATTTGAGGAGAACTTGTATCACTGTACGTACTGTATCATCATTGAAAAGAGAATTGAAATACCATTCAAACAATGTGTTACCCAACCCCACTTTCCATTTAAGATTTAAGAGGTGTATATTACCCTTTTCAAGGGGTTAAAGATAGAATTTTGGAAATAATTTTAAAGGGATTTTCCTCGATAAATAAATTGACATTTTTAATAACATGAAGTACCGCAAACTTGAAACGTTTCGTTTTGGTTGGCCAACTTGTATATATAAAGTGGCCAAGAACGCCTTTAATGCGGTTACGCGGCAGTTCGCTCTATAAATCCACATTTTAAGTGAATCAATCCTATTATTTTAGCAAATTTCTCCATTTTCCCTATCCTGTACTCCAGCCATCTTGATCGGGATTTACCACATTTTCTTCTGTCTCCTTGGTCCTGTTCTAATATTTAATGAACCAATATTCTATTTTATGCTCTCCAAACATGTCCTAACCATTTTGTTAAAATATGTCTCCTTTCTAAATTTCTCATTTGAAGGGTACAAGGGAAAAACGGGCTAAGTCATATTTAATGATTTTAAAATAAATCAATTTTAAAATTCAAAACGTTACAAAATCTAAAGTATTTGCATTGACAATTTGTTTTTATCAATATGTTTCCTAACTATCTGGGATCTTTGGGTCGTAAATTGAAAGCATTTAAAAAACTTTATGATAGAAAAATCAACAATTTATTGATAACTGGGCGTGACTTAATCCTGAAATTAAAGAAAAATGTTTTTTTTTTAAGTATGTTAATTTCAATCAACAAGTAGCTTTATGTCTACATAACTAATATAGTGAACCTAAACTTTAACTAAATTCAAATGAAAAATTAAAAGTTCGATTAGTGTAAGAAAATTAACATTTTTTTTTAACATGAAAGTTTCTTTATACGGAAGAAGTCCTTCATATTTCCAGTCAATTATGCACGAGTGAAGAAAAATAATCTTGAGCTTCTTTTCCAGAGAACTTTTTCAAACTCTGCAAATTGGCAAATTTTTCCGCCAAAATTGGTATTGGACCTGGAGCGAATAAGAAAAATTTAATAGTCAAACTAACAGTATAATAAATATAGGTTTACCTGCGTAAGATATTTCTGGAAAAAGAAATTGGCCGTTTCTCTTCAAATTTTTGAGAACGATAAGTTTTCTATCCATTACAACTGCAGAGAACCATGTCCCATTGTATATGTCTCTATACTTGATTAACCTTTTGAAACTTCGAATTGCCTTATTGGCTTTTTTGTAGAATTTATTCAAGTGTACGGTCCACTTTTTAAAACTGTGTTGATTGTCTTCTGAAATATGTTTCACTACACAGAGCAAAGGTTTTTTCTGGAACATTGGACGAGGTCACATAATTCCTTCACATTTTCAACTCTGGCTTTCTGATTGATGATTGCCATATTCTTACCATTTTCCATATAAGAATGGCCTCTAATAGGGAAAGTAACTCGTACAGAATCAAACCTTTTTTGTTGGTGAACAAGATTATGCAAGTAACAGAAAAAGGTGTAATTCTTGTTTGGTCCACCGCAGGAATCACAAAACAATTCCAAGTGTCTTACATTTAAATCAAGATAATTATATACAAAGTGATTCAGTGAAGAAAAAACAGCATCACTACCTTTTTTGGCGATGTTTGCTGGGTATACATAAAAGACACTG